TTGGGATGCTTGTCTTTGGGATGCTTGTCTTTGGGATGCTTGTCTTTGGGATGCTTGTCTTTGGGATGCTTGTCTTTTTTAAAATGTCACATCAAGTGCGGCTCCAGTCTCATATTTGTTTCATGGGTGGTTGGTGGGTGTTCTGGTGTGGTTTGCTCCTTCTTTCCTATCGAACATCTATCGTCCTTATCCCTCCTCCTTCTTTTTTGTGTGTGTTACTCTCTTGTAACACCTCTAATCTTCGGCACTTATATGACGTTATTGTGTTGCAAGTGCTGTAAAACTCTTACTATAACAAAGACCAAAAATGAATGTTGTGCAGTTAAAGGTTCCAAATGAAATATTTTTATTTTTCCTTCGTTTACTTTTCACAAGTATGGTATATGAGTATTTTTTGTGAGTGAACATTCATATAAATATACTGGAATTCTAATTTTATCATTTAGTTTACCTTGTTTGATAAAGGATTCATTTATGTTCTTGAGTATGGTGTGTGTTAATAAATGTCCGGGATTTCTCTGAAATTCTAATTCTATCATATGGTTTTTCTTGTTTGATCAGGGATTCATTTATGCTCTTGAGTACGGCATGTGTTAATGAATGTCAGGGAATTCTAGATCTATTTTGTGAACTGTGTTACAGATCCGTGTGGAGGCCAGAGATGGATTCGATGGTGTTGCTTACAAGTTTTGCTTCATCACAGTCACGAGAAACTTGGTTGTTCCTCGGTTTGTCCCGGATGTCTACAATGAGAGAATTCTCTCCATCGCTCCCGTGGGTAGCGAGATTCTTCGGGTGAACATTCAGGACACAGATGCTAGCGTAAGTAGCCTATAGATGTCTCTTGTTCACATTTTCTTGGTTATACAGGGATACACTACCTTTGAGTCTGCTTACACCTAAATCTGTGGGTGGTTGGCGGGTGCTTTGGTGTGGTTTGCTCCTTCTTTCCTATCAAACATCTATCGTCCTGATCTCTCCTCCTTCTTTTTTATGTTTGTTACTCTCTTGTAACACCCCTCATCTTCTGGCGCTCATATGACCTTATGCAGTTGCGAGCACCGTAAAACCTCTACTAAAACAAAAACAAATCTCTAATCTTCGGCACTTATATGACCTTACGGTATTGCAAGTGCAGTAAACATCTTACTAAAACAAAACTGAAATTTGGGAGACAGCAGGCTCTTTTGGGGGGGGGGGGGGGGGGGGGTAGCTGAGTTTTCGATTCAAAGAGGTCGCTCAAATAGAAGAAATAAAATTAGGGAATTTGAGTTTCTTTGTATTTTTTACTGCTGCTTTGGGATCAAACAAATTGAGTTTGAGCGAACTCCCTTGTTGTTTGATGTGAACTCCCTTGTTGTTTGATGTGAACTCCCTTGTTGTTTGATGTGAACTCCCTTGTTGTTTGATGTGAACTCCCTTGTTGTTTGATGTGGTTTCTCTCATCCCTTTAATTCAGTTTGAGCGAACTCCCTTGGACTTTGATGTGGTTTCTCTCATCCCTTTAATTCAGTTTGAGCGAACTCCCTTGGACTTTGATGTGGTTTCTCTCATCCCTTTAATTTGCCCCAAAGGTGTTGCAAGTACTGTAAAATACTTACTATAACAAAAAGCATGGTATTCTTTCTTTCTCAAGCTTAATTTGTTTAGAATGTTGAACACCTCTTTCAGGGTTTCCAGTTTTTAACCCTTTTTCCCCCCTTTATTTTGTTAATATGATTCAATTCCAAAACTTAGAAGTCTGGTATTTTGTTTCAAGTATTCAGTTTTTGAATTCTACTCTTATGGATTGTGACTGTGGTCTCCAATGTCTTTTCACCAGTCTCCCAGCAATTTACCTGCTTTTACTCTGTCGGGAGATCCTGCATGCCTGACCTACTTCCAGATTGATGAATTCACTGGTTCCTTCTCCCCGAGGACCAGCCTGTGGTCAAATAATCAGAGACCTTCCACCTACCGGGTAAGTGTCTTGTGTCTTGTATTTGTGTCACATTGCTGGTGGTCAAACTATCAGAGACCTTCAACCCACCGGATAAGTGTCTTGTGTCTTGTATTTGTGTCACATTGCCGGTGGTCAAACTATCAGAGACCTTCAACCCACCGGATAAGTGTCTTGTGTCTTGTATTTGTGTCACATTGCTGGTGGTCAAACTATCAGAGACCTTCAACCCACCGGATAAGTGTCTTGTGTCTTGTATTTGTGTCACATTGCCGGTGGTCAAATTATCAGAGACCTTCAACCCACCGGATAAGTGTCTTGTGTCTTGTATTTGTGTCACATTGCCGGTGGTCAAACTATCAGAGACCTTCAACCTAGCGGATAAGTGTCTTGTGTCTTGTATTTTTGTCACGACACTGGTGGTCAAACTATCAGAGACCTTCAACCCACCGGATAAGTGTCTTGTGTCTTGTATTTGTGTTACATTGCCGGTGGTCAAACTATCAGAGACCTTCAAACCCAGGGGATAAGTGTCTTGTGTCTTGTGTCTGTGTAAAAAACATGTCATTCCCAGGAGAACCAACTACTAATGGATCACTTTGTTGTTCCCCTCAGTGTACCGTCACGGGCCGGGATCGCGGAGTTCCGTCAAACGCAGCGAGCAACTCAGCCACTGTAACCATCACGGTGATCTACAACACGGCCCCATTCTTCCGCCCAGATTCCTACCCAGTCACGATCGACAGGACAGTTAATGATGGTGATCCAGTTATGACTTATTTGGCAAGAGACAACGACCAAGATGTAAGTTTATCCTCCAACTCTATGGTACTGAAGCTTTGATTATGTGCAGATTTGAGAAAACAAATCAACCCCCCCAAAAAGCCTATCTTTTTTAAAATGTCCTATCAAGTGCGGCTCCAGTCTCATATTTGTTTCATGGGTGGTTGGTGGGTGTTCTGGTGTGGTTTGCTCCTTCTTTCCTATCGAACATCTATCGTCGTTATCCCTCCTCCTTCTTTTTTGTGTGTGTTACTCTCTTGTAACCCATCTATTCTTCGGCACTTATATGACGTTATTGTGTTGCAAGTGCTGTAAAACTCTTACTATAACAAAGACCAAAAATGAATGTTGTGCAGTTAAAGGTTCCAAATGAATTATTTTTATTTTTCCTTCGTTTACTTTCCTGATTTGAGAAAACAAATCAACCCCCCAAAAACCTATCTTTTGTTCTTTGATAGGGTGTAGTGTAATGATTTTTATCTGTTCAAGATGGAATCAAAACTCGTGCCTACAAACTTTTCACCCATCTTTGAAGAAAAAAAAGCAGCTTACGTGTCCAAAAGAGGGCCTGAGTGTTAGAAATTAAATTTTTTTTTTTTTTTACCTCGAATTACGCTTCCAGCTTTCTTAAAGGAAAGGAAATTCCTCTTGTACGGACTATCTGTCACATTTTTGGCCTTGTTGTGCTTACAAGTGTTTTATTCTGTTTTGTTTGTCTTCCCATCCACAGACTCCCTTCAACGTCACGACAGTTGACCTCATCGGTGGGAACTCCAATTTCTTTGGGTTGAATCCTGTCAGCCGCCAAGTGGTTGTATCAGATGCTACTGGACTGGCTCTGGACCGGAACACAGCATACTTTGTAATCTTTGATTTTTAATTCTCTTTGTTTTTATGAGTTGATGAAGAATGAGCTAAGAATGAGCAAATGTATGGATGAATGAATTGTAACTTTTATTGATCTATGAAAAAAAATGTGATCAAGTTGTAAGGGACCCAGGTCTGTCTGTCTGTCTGTCTGTCTGTCTGTCTGTCTGTCTGTCTGTCTGTCTGTCTGTCTGTCTGTCTGTCTGTCTGT